GGTAATTCTTCTAAAATTTGAGCTTTTTAGCTTGTCTGGTTCCCGAGCTGAAATCCCGGAACAAAATGCACACACAAAAAGACACACCCACAAACACACCCTACAGGGATGTGACAGTGTGTCTTGTGCAACTGTTACACAGTACAAACGCATAAAAAAAACAATTTTATACTGTTCGTCTTGCACTATGCAATGCACTGAAGCTTAGAATTTAATGTTCGCAACCATCCTAGTTCTGAATTCATTATCACTGAATGGATACAATCTGTAATGTGAAGATTCGGAAGTTGATTTCTAGCCATCGCCCTGTATAATATGCAAACTAAACTTTTCCGCTTAGTTCACAGCTTTCTTGTCCTTAAGTTACAGTGTAAGTAGGATCCTGGATTAGAAGTCGATAACTGAAACAAATAGGTCATAACTTTGACTTCAGATCTATGATAACTTAATTTGCTAGGCATTTATTCCGGGTTCCTAGCTTTGTCCTCGCGAAATAACTTGTTTGAATAAGGACGATCTCATTACAGTGCGACTTTGCTTTACGCAGAAAGAAGCTGGACGAAATTTAGCGCTCTGTTGCACCAAGTTATTATCAAAAATTTCACAAATTGTTTTAAACCCTCTCAGTATAAATTTAAAGAGCATTTTGCATGCATTCTTCTTCCTATTCGAAATGGCCCAAGCTACTAAACACGTTCGTTTTCGTTCAACGCTTTGCATGATTTTTTAAACAAAGTTGCTGAGCTGGCGTAGAACTGCTTTTTTAAATCAAATAAATGAATGTTTTTATTCAGGAAACAGCGAGAAAAGCGATGGATCAGCTGAATAGCCAGCTAAATGATGACACTGTATACAAAATGGTGAAAGTGCTTGCAGCTCAAAAACAAGTAGTTGCTGGCTTGCTCTACTATCTCACAGTGCTGGCTGCACCCACAAACTGCAAGGTGAGAATTTAGAACCACCACGGAACTGTTTTGGCACCCAAAAATAACCCTTGCTTTACAATATGAAAAACAACTCCATAAAGTGGATTTTAATAAATTGACAGCATGCGAGAAGGAAGTCGTGAGCAAAAAAAAGCAGTGAAATCAGGTTTAGTAATGCTCACAAGCTTATTCTTCAGAAAAAATTTCATCTGTTCTTTCTCAAAAAAGTTTTCCTTGTTTTAGAAAAGTTCTGGAATTATGGATTCTGCCAAATGCGCTGTTGACAAAAGCCAGCCGGAAAAGGTTAGATAAGCCTGGATTGTTTATCTTCGAGAAAAATTCGCAGTGATTCTTCAACTCCAGAGGTTCGGGCGTTGCGTATCGGGGAACTGATCCATTTTAAAAAAAGTGGCATTCTTATAGCCATCGAAAAGATTTTGCACTCATAGAAGGAAGGCTCGGTAAAAACGTGTTTGCGTCAAAAAGTACCACGCTCCCTCGTGCGGTGTGCTACTACTTTTCAGTAGCATCGAGGAATTTATACCAGGAACCGCTTCATTTGCAGCTACTTCCCCTAGTGATGTGGGAAGTTCGAAAATCTGACCATCAAAGCGGACGAATCTTTAGTAATGTGCAGCCTGATTCTGCAGCTGTCACACGCTGAACAGTTTAGGTTACCTGAGCCTCTAAGCTTTTAGTTTCTTGTGCGAACGCACGTTTCAATTCCTTG